CAGAAAATAAGTTGGAGAATCAGGATGAATGGGGTGCCATTGGGGTGTTGTACATAGATAATAATTAGAATTAGAATTAGCTTTATTGTCAAGTGTGCTCAAATGAGTACAGTGAAAAGTTTACAAGTCACCGCTTATGGCACCATCTTAGGTACAAAGGTGTGTAAGTACAGATTCTTAAGTACAAATTTTTTGGGAAAAAAATTAGAATAATAAAGAAATTAAAGTCCAGCATCACAGATCAAAAGAATGTTAGAAAAATAAAGAAATAAATGATACGTTTGTGATGATAGCACAAGAAAACTCATTAGAGTTAGAATCCTCACAAATTTTTCTTTTTTTTTCATTTTTATTGTTCCATCAATTCTGGTTTGGAGCCATGAATTGGGAATTGTGAGCTGGAAATGACTGGCAGCTAAAAGGAAGAGAGGTTTTGTTTGTTTGTTAAAGCTATGCCTGGACATTAATTGCAGATGGATTCTTGATTAAAAGGATTCCAACAGACATAGCGATCCCTGGGGAGGAGCATTGTGTTTAAACAGATAGCAGAAGTTGGTACCTTAGAATTGGTTCCAGCAAGGCTGGAAGTGATGCCATGTTTAAGGAGATGGCAATTGCCGAATGGTAATTGTGGCTTCAGGAAGAGATGATCAGTATGTCCGGGTGGAAACAGAATTGATATTGTTTTTTGAACAATGTTTTCTGAGAGATTAGCTTGTTTGCTGACAACCTAGGAGGATGATTTGAAAGCTGTCTACCTAATCTCCTCCACCAGCTTCCAAAAGCCCCAAAAGTAGAAAGCTAAGTTAGAAATTGTACTATCTATACCCAAGTGAACTGAACAACATTTCAGAAAAAAATTCACATTTATACCTGTAAAACAATGCAACATGAAATCCATTTTAAAAATCTGGTTAGATTTGATATTCTCTTTTATTTATCCCTTGAATGTTTTTGCTTGCCTTCTGTCTGTCTTTTGCGTGAATGGAGGCTGAAAACAAATGTTTCGGGTTTAAAGCATAGATACTATTCAGCTTACCTTATTGTTTAATTTTTCTTCTGCTAAAGTTATTGTGTACTTAATAAATAGCTAAATCTTTTGTTTGAGACACAAAACCAGTATCTGGAATTAATTATTCACAAAACCTTGGATCAGTTATTCAAACGTCTGGTTCAGAGCCATTGGAGTAATTATTGGGTGTTTTTGATGGTTTAATTTTCCTGTGTTGTGAACGCAGAGCTGGAATTAGGGGAGAGCAACCCTCCATGAAACTCGCCAAAAATGACACTGAGCCGTTTCCTGCTCAGAGTCAGCCCCATGGCTTCCATTCAATAACTGATTGATACAATGCTTTAGATGGAAAAGACATTTTCTTTTCCTATTCATTTGTGGGATGTGGGCATCACTGGCTGGTCAGCATTTCTTGCCCATCCCTAGTTGTCCTTGGATGGTAACATGCAACGGTAACTTTCACATTTAACATACAGTGAGTCTGATTGAACTCAATGTTTTTGTTTTTGGCAGTGTGTGAGTTTACATTGTCAAACTGGAACCTGATACAATGACACGTTACCAGAGTAGTGAAGAACAAGAAAATAAGCCAAAAATTTGAGGCAGAATTAAATTTTGTAATCTAAAAGAAAAAAAAACAGAGAAGGGCACACTTGAAACCAGGAATGAAAGCCAATTATTCTGCATAAACTAACCCGAAGGGCAACTGAAGTGTAAGTTTTACACAGTCAGGAAGGTGGGATCCTACCCAGAGCGAGTCACAACTGAGTGAGTGCATAGTTCAGGAAATTTGGTGGTAGAGTGGGAATTTGGTGCAGAGAGGAAGAGGCACTTTTTGCTTGCTTTTGTTTTGGCTCAATGTTTGAAAGGTTTTTTTTTAATAGGATAAATTGAAACCCAGGATCGGGGTCAAGCATATAAGACTGACATCACAGGTAAATTGTAAGTTCCTTGGTCAGTAACAGTTACCAACTTGACCATCTATTATGGCTTACTTTCAGATTGAAGATAAATAGAGGAAAATATTTACAGGCTACAAACTAAAAGACCAGTAGGAAACTTTTAAAAATCAAATGTGTTGTAGCTGCTGGACCCCACTGCAGTTCATAGTGACCACATCTGTAGCAAGTACTGGTTGCTTGAGGAACTCCAGCTCAGAATTGATGAACGGAATCTGAGTTTCGAACACTGCAACACATTCATTAGGGGTAAGAGTTATCTGGACGCTGTGTTTCAGGAGGCAGACATACCCCTTAGATTTAACTACCTCAAAATCAGACAGTGGTCAGGGACAGGAGGGGTGTGAGTACATGCGAGGCAGGTGGAGGGATCCAGGAGGTAGTGCTGAAGGAGCCTCCGCCCTTGAGCATGACTAACAGGTTTGAGATTCTTGCTCCCTGTGTGGACAAGAGTGGGAGCTGTAGGGAGGATGAACAAACTGACCATAGCACCGTGGTACAGGGAGCCATTCGAGGTTGGGGGTGGGGAAGTTGTGGAGAAAAGAGAAATGTAGTTGTAATCAGGGATAGTACAGTCGGGGAATAGACACTATTCTCTGCAGCTGGGATCAAGAGTCCTGAAGGCTGTGTTGTCTGCCTGGTGCCTGGGTTCAGGATATCTCATCTGGGCTGCAGAGGAACTTGGAATGGGAGGGGAAAGGTCCAGCATTCGCGGTCCGCACAGGAACCAACAATATTGGCAGGAAGAGAAAAGAGGTTTTGCTGATGGAATTTGAGCACCTGGGGGCTGAATTACAAAGCAGAAACAAAACAGTAATCATCTCTGGTTTGCCACCTTAACCATGAGAAAATTGGCATGGGGTTAACAAGATTAAAGAGGTAAATGCACGGCTCAAATATTGGTGTGGGAGAAAAGGGTTCGAATTCGTGGGATATTGGCATCGGTACTGGGGATGGAGGGAACTGTTTCAATGAGACAGGCTCCACCTGTATCACGTTGGGACCAGAGTCCTGAAGAATCAGTAGGGCTGTGAATACAGCTTTAAACTGCCCAGTTGTGGAAGGGGGGCAGGGTTAGACACAATTGCATGGAAAACTATGGAAAATGTTAAAGAGATTGAAACTATCATAGATTGGTGAGAGACCTGGATAGAATGGACGTGGACAAGATGTTTCCACTAATAGGAGAGACTAGGACCAAAGGGCACAGCTTCAAAATGAAGAGACAACCCTTTAGAACTGAGATGAGGAGGAATTTCTTTAGCCTGAGGGCAGTTAATCTGTTGAACTCATTGCTGTAGAAGGCTGTGGAGGCCAAGTCATTGAGATTATAGGTTCTTGATTAGTAATGGGGATCAAGGGTTACAGGGAGAAGGCAGGAGAACGGGATTGAGAAACATGTCAGCCATGATCGAATGGTGAAGCAAACTCAATGGGCTGAATGCCCTAATTCTGTATCTATGCCTTTGGTGTAATGGAAGGGAGTCTACTTCAGGCACAGGAATCTACATCAGGCACAGGAATCTACTTCAGGCACAGCAGATAAGGGGACAACTATGTTGAAGGGGGCAGTCAATGCAGGAAAGAGGGTTTTAAATTTAAATTTACACTGGAAAGTAAATATCCAAGGGCACACATCCTACTGGAAGGACAGGCAGATAGGTGGAGTGGGGGTTTATCTTGTTCATAAGAAATGAAATTAAATCAATAGCAAGAAGTGGTATAGAGTTGGAAGGCCTGGAATCTGTGTGGGTAGAGTTGAGGAACTGCAAGGGAAATAGGTCCCTCCTGGGAGTTGTGTACAGGCCTCCTAGTGGTAGTCAGAATGTGGGGAAGAAATAAATCAGGAGATAGAAAAGGCATGTAAGGAAGGCACTGTTACAATAATCATGGAGGAGTTCAAAATGCAGGTGGCCCTGGAAAATCAAGTTGGTAGTGAAAATCAAGAAAAAGATCTTGAAATGTCTACAAAATGGTTTTTGGAGTAGCTGGTGGTAGAGCCCACTAGGGAACAAGCAACTCTGGATTTGGTGATGTATAATGGGGCAGACTTGATTAGGGAGCTTACATAGAAGGAACCCCTGGGGGGCAGTGACCACAACATGACAGAATTCACCCTGCAGTTTGAGAGGGAGAAACTGGAATTAGATGTAACGGTATTACAATTGGGTAAAGGTAACTACAAAGACATGAGGGAGGAGCTGCCAAAGTTGATTGGAAGGGCAACCTAGTTTGGTTGGGATTATGGTGTTGAAGGTGGAGCTGTAGTCAATATGTAGAAATCTGACGTTGGTATCCCTATTATCCAGATGTTCCAGGGATGAGCGTAGGGCTAGGGAGATGACGTTCGCTGTGGAACTGTTGCATCAGTAGGCAAGGTGCAAGAGATTGAGGCTGGCTGGGAGGCTAGAGTTGATGTGAGCCATGACTAACGTCTCGGAATTTATTAAGTCAGGGGATGGTGATGCTGTGGAACTCATTGCCGCAGAAGGCTGTGGAGACCACGTCATAGAATCATAGAATCCCTACTGTGCAGACAAAGGTTATTTGGCTCATCAAATCTGCACCGACCCTTCAAAGGGCATCCCACACTATCCCTGTGGCCCCACATTTACAATAGTTAAGTCACCAAATCTGCACACTGTGGGGCAATTCCCATGGCCAATCCACCATAACCTGCACATCTTTGGTCTGTGGGAGGAAACCGGAGCATGTGGAGGAAACCCATGCAGACACGGGGAGAATGTGCAAACTCCACACAGACACCAAAGGGTGGAATCGAACCCAGGTCCCTGCCACTGTGAGGCAGCAGTGATAACCTCTGTAACACCATTAAGTGTGTTTCAGACAGAGACAGATAGGATTGTGTTTGGAAGGAAAATTAAGGGTTACAGGGAGTGGCAGGACAATGGGGTTCAGAAACATAGCAACCATGATCGAACAGCAATGTAGCTTCAATGGGACGAATGGCCTAATTTTGCTTCTACAGCTTTTGATAGCGTGATGTAAGTGAACTGTCAATCAGAGTAATGGGCGGGGTCAACGAACTGCCAATCAGAGCGGCGTGTGTGGCCGGTGAGCTGTCAATCAGGTCGGTAGGCGGGGTCGGTGATCTGTCAATCAGAACGGTGCGCGTGGGCTACCAATCAGAGTAATGGGAGGGGTTAGTGAGCCGTCAACTGGTTAGTGGACGGAGTTATTGTGTGTGTGTGTGTGTGTGTGTGTGTGTGTGTGTGTGTGTGTGTGTAGTGGGCGTGGCCAGTGAGCCGTCAATCGGAGTGGAGGACAGGAGGCAAGTTGCGTGTAAATCAGTGCGGTGGCCCGGGTGAATGAACTGTCAATCAGGACAGTGGGCGGAGTTAGTGATCCGTCAACGAAGGCGGTGGGCGGGATCGGTGAGTGTCAATCAGGGCGGTGGGCGGTGTTAGTGCGTTGTTATTCATGGAAGTGGGCGGGGTTATGGTGCCGTCAACAGGGGTGGTGGGCGGAGTTAGCGAACCGTCAATCAGGGATGGTGGGCGGAGTTAGCGCACAGTCAACCGGGGGTAGCGGGCGGAGTTAGCGAACAGTCAATCAGGGGTGGTGGGCGGAGTTAGCGAACAGTCAATCAGGGGTGGTGGGCGGAGTTAGCGAACCGTCAATCAGGGGTGGTGGGCGGGGTCAGTGAGCTGTCAATCAGGGCGGTGGGTGGGTTGGAAACTCTCGGGTGATGCAGGTAAAGTGAAGGCTGGAAAATTACTCCATGCGAAGGACATAAAAGCAAAGTGCATTGGGATAACTCTGTATTCACATTTCATTTTTAAACTGAAGAACAATAATAATTGATTGCATTCATTGTAATAATTTCTGTTTGTGAATGCACGCCTGGTTTTAGTGAGCCCTGTTATAATAAACAGGATGGGTTTCTGTGTGTGTGTGTGGAGAGGCTCAGGACGGGCAGGAAAGCGGTGAAAAGGGACCGGTACTTAATTAAGACGATTGGACATTTTCTGTAAATACTGAGCGAGGCTCCTCATTGCAGAAAGGAGGAGGGGTATGGACAGTGCAGTTGTGTTAGTGATGATGTTTTCCATTGCAGGTTGGTCCAGGCTGATGCTGCTGTGGTCTTCCTGGACCATGTATGATGGGATGCCTTCCAGCAGCCGAGTTTCAGCTGGCATTGCCCGGCATCTCCAGCTCGCCGCTCTCATCCTGTGCGCTGGAACCATGCTCCGTGTTTGCATTGCGAACCGAATTCCGGGTAAGTTTCCCCTGGACTCTCTGAGCCAGGCTTGGAGGGGGGTGGATGGGCTATGGTGTTGGAAATGCACAGTTCGATTTGTTCATCGTTTACAACGCAATACCTGCAAATATCAATTGTTCCAAAGTTATTTTTAAAACTATCTTCTGTGAAGGAATCTGCGTGTATACATGGAGGTTATGTAAGTGCTCTCGGTGAAGACTGTGCAATGGTATACTGTTATATAATAGACTTTGTATCTCCGGATTAAAGTCCTACCTGCTTCAGCCATGTGTCATAATGTATTTGAATAGGTTGATTCAAAATATCTGAAAGAATGACTGCATTGTCAAGGTGGAACCTGCTAAAGCCTTGGCTCAGAGCAAAATGACATGCCACCACTATGTAGTTTGTTAGGTCAAACCCTTCTGGCAGAATGCTATTGGTCTGAGTGTTACACTGTGTTAGATAATGTAACATATCACATAAAGATCGAGTTCTTGTTGAGACAGATGTCTTGAAGTTTATCTGTTGCAGACATACACTTAGGCTGGGTTCTGTAATACAAACTACTAGGGCACGTCACATGTACATAACTGACCAAATCTATTCACAACACAGAGTCCATCACACCAGAAGAGTGACTGAAGACAAGATGGGGACCTTTTTACCAGAATACCACACGTCATGATGTTCTATAACTGTTTTAAAAGTACACTGTCTATCTTGTTTAGAATCTACAAACTAATACAGCGGTAACCCTCTCAATGACCAATCTGGATTGTGGGTTTAACTACAACTGTAGGGAATTAAAATACAGAAAACTCAACTGGACGTAGGTCTAATACTCTTATCATTGTTATCACTAACATGAAAACTGAAAGGACTGTGGATGCTGTAAATCAGGAACAAAAACAGAAGTTGCTGGAAAAGCTCAGCAGGTCTGGCAACATCTGTGAAGGAAAAATCAGACTTAACATTTCAGAACAGAAAGGGTCACTGGACCCGAAACGTTAACTCTGTTTTTTTCTTCACAGATGCTGCCAGACCTGCTGAGCTTTTCCAGCAACTTCCATTATCACTAACATGAACTTTACCATGAAGGTAGACATAAAAGGTCTATAGTTAACTTACAAAGAAGAGGGCAGGTCTGTTGAAATTTTCGAGCACAGAGAGAGGACACTTGGTTCATTGTGTCTGTGCTAGCCAGAAATAACCCAGTCTAGCCCCACTTTTCAGCAGTTCCAGCACCTTTTAAATGGGCTCTATACCCTTCCAGGCAGTGAGTTCCAGACCCCAGCTGCCCTCTGGATGGAACAGTATTTCCTCAACACTCTTTAATGTTTTTCTAGCTGTCATTTAAAATTTAAGCATCCTAATCACTGAACTCTCTGCTGAGGTCAATAGCTTTTGTCCAGCTGCTGTACCCAGGCCCCTCCATTTTGTACATCTCTCCAATCTCCCCACAATAACCACAGCCTGTCAAATCTTTCCTCATAATTACACTTTTCCAGTCGTGGCAATATCCTCATAAACCTTCTCGTTATTCCCTTTAGGACAAGTGCATGCTGCACACCCTTTAGAACAGTACCCTTTGTTTTATATAGTCTTTCAGTGTTCTAACCAAAGTGCATCACCTCACACTTCTCCGTATTGAGCTTCATCTGCCAACTGTCCACCCACTCCATGAACTTGTCAATGTACTTTTGGAGTTCCCACTGTCCTCCTCAGAGTTTACAATTCTTCCAAGGAACAAACTTTGCAACTGTCCTTTGCACACCAGGATCTAGACCACTAATACATATCAGCAAGGATCCCAAGCCAACCTCTGGGGACCCACCCACACCAAGCCAAACACGGGGACCCACCCACCCCTGCAAACCTTCTACCAGGCCAAAAATACCAGTTGACTATTGTTATTGTACTTTTTATTCTATGACCTATCAGTTTTGTCACAACTTTTGTTGTGAGGCACCATATAAAAGCCCCTTGGAAGTCCATATACTCCAGATTAACAGCATTGCCCTCACAAACCCTCTGTTACTGCTTCAAAACAAAAACACCAGCAAGTTAGATAGACATGATTTTCCCTTCACAAACCCATGCTGATCCATTCCTTCTGATTCAAATCCACATTTTTCCATACAAGTAGTTAAGCTCCCTCACCACTGCCCTTCTATTTTGCAATTCAAGGGGGAGATGGGATGACTCCCTTACTGAGATAGACTGAAAGGTGTTCCCCAGTACCTGGTTTCCTTGAGTATCAGTTTTGGAAGTTTACCACAGCAAAACCCTTCAATATGAAATCAGAGGTGGGGTTTATTAATGGAACATTTCTAAGGTGGAAGAATTGCTTTGTGGGTCCATTCACACGCACAAACACACAAGGTAGAAAGTAAAAGAAGGGAAGAATGAAGGTTGCAACTTATGAATTTCTTGAAAAAGAATCAAAGATTTTGGCATTAGATTGTGTGATTCTATTTCATCTGAAAACATCAGAACCATTGAGCTGTCATTCCTTAAGTCATGTTCCTGTAATAGCTGTAATATTATTGTGAAATATTTCTATCTGTACTCTGCCAACTCCTCTGCTTTATTCACTAAACTCCTTGCATTAAAATAAATCCTTGAGCACTGCCAGACTTTCCTTCTTCCTCTGACCTTTGTTTCCTCCTCCTTTCAGATTCATTAACTAATTTTCTGCCTTCCATTTTTACTTTTGAATCTACTCGTGGGTTCCTATACCCTTCCAAACTAATTGAAAGCCTGTCCAACAGAAATCAGAGATAGTGAGAACTGCCGATGCTGGAGTCAGAGATAACGCAGTGCGGAGCTGGAGGAACACAGCAGGCTGGGTAGCATCAGAGGAGCAGCTCCACGCTGTGTTACCAACAGAAGTCAGACTTTTGAGAGTGATTGAAATTGGACACAGTTGTTAGCTAAGCCTGGAATTATTATATATGTTCTCTTCTGGTATTGCAAGCAGACTAACGAAAGAAGTCAAAAACTGTGGCAGTTCAAACAAACCAGAGGTTAGAGTTGTGTGAATGGGTCTGGATGGAGCAGTTACTCAGCTAGTAAGGCATGTTGCGATGTTTGGGTCAAAACCTATTGCGTTTTTTGTAACAGATAATTGTGGAGTCATTAGCACCATCTCATGCATAATGTGTTTCAGTTATTTCCTTTGTTCAAGATTGGCAAAAGTAGACATCATGCCTCCTGTACTGTAGTGTTGCTTTGATTCGAATGTTTAGACAAATGGAGGTGTGACAGGAGATGAGAGTTATATTTTTGTCTTGTTAATAGTTGAAAATTTCTAGATACGGCCATTTTGACTGCACTGTGATCTATCATGGTCATGTTTGCTGAGCAGCTGAACATGCCCATTTTAGAATAATCACTATATATATATATATAGATGTGTATTAAGGTTGTTTTTAATCTATTTGTGACAGCCAGAAAGATAGCAGATTCACACTAGGCATTTCTTTTGTTACCTGAGGTAGATTGGGGAATTCCACTCTGAACCAGTGGTTTGGGGCTGGGGGAGACTCCAAACTGTTCCTGACTTTGTGTGTTCCTATGGAAACTGCAGATCTGCCTGTGTTTATAATGCAGATAGGTATTGTGGTCAGCAAAGGGCTTAAGCTTGTGTTAAAGCCTTCAATGCTACTTCCCAGAGACTGTGAAAAGTCAGTTACCAAAGATTCTCAGGCTCCCGAATGTATGTTCTAGCACCTTCATGGCAAAGCCTGCTCCAGTGTCATCTTGATTCCCCACGTTTTGTAAGGCTGAGGGATGTGGACGGGTCAGGAAATCAGGAGAAATTTTCCTACTACTCTTCAAATTGTGAAATATATTTTTATTGGTCGCTTAAATTGAATACACGGTGTCAGTTTAATTCTCACTCTTGAGTCCCTGCTCAGGCTGGTGCTGACCTGTTGCTGCAGGTTATTTTCCCCAACCCTGGAATGAGGGTTAAACTCATAACCTTCTGACACAGAGCAGGGCAAGTATTCCTACTAAGCCAAGGTTGACACATGAAGCTGTATATTTAAAAACAATTTCCTTTGTATAAAGGTTATATAAACCACATGTTCCCAGTTTAATGAAGAAAATTAGTTTGTAGATTAGAGTCAGATTTCAGCTTCAATTTCCTTTTTCTAACCCCGGCAACATTTGAACATGAGCAGAGAGATCTCACTCTAATCCTCCTCATATTTAAAAAAAAAAGCCCCGCCGCTTGTGGGATCTTGCTGTGCAGAACTTGGCTATTGAATGGATGTCTATGATAACAGTCCAAGTGCTTCGTAATATTCATCGTATGTGAAAACTGAGATGACGTGCTCAGAAAGTGTAGACTTTTCTTCTGTCCTATCTGTAGATAGATAGTTGCCTGCCTGCAGTGATGGTATATCTCTGCACTCATGGGTAAAGATAAAAGTTGCGAGGCAATTTATTTTTTGGTAATAGACTTCATCCTCATTTAAAGTCACCACATTTAATATTGTTTTGCTTTGACATTGGTAGATTAGTGGGATATGTAACCTTGTTGAGCCTTGCGAGATTTATTTTAGTGCTTTTTTCTGTATAACTCAATTAGTACCTCCCCCAGTCCCCCAACTCCGAGTCGTCACTTCTCCCCACTCCTCAAACCCAGAGGTGTGACCACCTCCCCAATGGGAAAGAGGCTGCAAATCAGAGGTCAGGCAGTGGGAAAAGGTCAGAGTTCAGAGTTTGGAGAGTGGTGAGAGGCCACAGTTTGGAGTTCAGGGACCTGGGAGAAATTGCAACTCACGGCTGAGTAAATGGGGTAGGCACCAATCAAATAACCACCCAAACATCTACGTTTCAAGAATTACACAACCTAAATATAAATACTCTTGATTTCTAGTGTTACCCTTGATGACCAGTAAATCTATGTGGAAGCTCCAAGGTAAATATGTTTCCAAAAGTTAAATACCCAGAATGGCTTGCAGTACTCCAGGCATAGCCAAATAGATTCATAGAGCTGTACAGGA